AACCAAATCGATTTTTGAAAAAATACTTTTATTTTGCAATCGCTGTGTGATGTCTTGAATGTGTGGAATGGGGTATCTGTCCGGTAATGTGACTGCGTTTAACCTACGGTAGTCGCCGCACGGTCTCCATTCACCGTTCTTCTTTTTTACTAGTTGTAATGGGCTGACCCACGGACTATTTGAAGGTCGGCATATGCCCTGTTCTACTAAATAAGCAAATTTTTTTTTTGCGATCTCTAGTCGATCCGGAGGAAGGCGTCTTGGTTTAGCGAAGAGTGGTGGTCCTTTAGTGATGATATGATGTGTAACGTTATGTTTACAATCCATTGGGATCATGTTTGTTCTTAATACTTGCGGAAATTTTTTTAGTAACTTAATGTACGCTGAATCGTCTTTAAAAGCGAAGATGCCCGAGGATATCGTCTTTTTAACTTTTCCGGCGGTGGCTAAATTGGTATTTTCATCAATTAGGCGTTTACTTCTTAAGTCCACTAATAAGCCGAAGTAGTGGAGAAAGTCAGCACCTATAATTGGTTTACTGACTGCTGCGACAATAAATTTCCATTTAAAAACACGTCTTAAACCTAAATTTACAGCAATTAATTTGTCACCGTATGTTTTTATTATTGACCCGTTGGCTGCGAATAAAGTAGGGTTACCATCTTTTATTTTATTGCGTTTCTGCTTAGGATCTGCTGGCCAAACCGAAAAGTCCGCACCAGTATCAATTAAGTATTGAGTTTTTGTTATTTTATCAACAATAAATAGACGACGAGATTGAAACTCACTACCGTCGGTCGTCTCGACAGTAGATCGTTTATAGTTTTCCGACGTGTGCTGGTATTTACACGGTGGTTTGCATTTAGTAGCCTTATCTTTGAATCGGTAATGATAATAACATGTATCATATCGTGGTCGTGAATTGTCTCGGCGCATAGGTGATTTTGAGTGACGCCTATTGTAGCTACGAGAGTTGCTGTTGCTAAGTCGCTCTACTGCTTGTGCGAGTGCTGCGATCTGGTGTTCCAATTTTCTTATTGTCGTTGCATCGTCAGCTTGTTCATGTGACTGACGGTTTGTGACCTTGTCACTAATGTTGGCAATGGAAAAACAATCATTTCGGCTGTCCGATACTTCGATAATTTTATCTGCCATCGAAGCTAAGTTATCCAACTTGTCGTTGCTAGCTGAAATGATAGTTTTTACCTGATGTGGTAACCTTTGTATCCATAGTATTTTGAGTATTTCATCAGTTACTTTTCCATTAGCTAGTTGACGCATTTCTGAAAGAAAATGGGATGGTTTCCGATCACCGAGTTCGACTTCGGTCAGTAATTTTTTAAGCCGACATTGTTCAGATTCGGAAAATCTTTCGATGAGCCGGGTTTTTAATGCTTCGTACATTTTCGTTTCTGGTGGATTGAGTATTATGTCACTAACTTGAGCAAGAATTTCACTTTCCATAGAAGAAACAACATGATGAAATTTACTTGCGTCAGCTGTAATTCTGGTTGTATAAAAAACGGATTCAATTTGTTTGAACCAAAGTTCTGGGTTGGTACGCCAGAAAGTTGGGATTTTAAACGCTCGCGTTGAATTCATATTGGGCTCGCCGTATTCGATATGGTCTCGGCCATCATTACCGGTCGCGTCGTCACGCACACTTACTATCGTACTATCGGATTTGTTGTTCATTTTAGAGGTCACCAATTTGTAGTGTTTTGGTGTTTATATTTATTACAAAATACTACAATTAAAATTTATAATAATTAATACTTTTTAATAATGAAAAATAATTTTATACGTACATAAAAAAAGAGTACAAATAAAAAGTGTCACTGGATTGACGAACAGCGCGAGAATAAAAAAAATACACGGAGTGTTATCGTACTGCAGTACATCTAAGATAAAACATATAAACATATATAAACGCATTCATTGTGACATGTTATTTAACATCTTTGTTAATCCCTACAAAACTATAAATTGTTACTGTTGATATGAAAATTCAAAATACATACGTGATCTCATTAAAATATAATATCACTAGCTTTTCTTTTAATATAGCATACTAAATAAAAATAATAATATTGTTATTAGAATGTTGCGCTGGGTTATGTAGGTTTTCCTGTCATCTACGATACAGGCAATAGCTTTTAGATGGGACGTTAAATATGATTAATAATAAAAATATACAATAATGTTAATGTTATGAAATGATCATATAAAGTTTCATTTAAAACTGCTGAATACCACAAACAAAATTTCGTCTTGGAAGTATTATACATAATAAAAATTTTCACTACCAACCCCAAACGAAGAAATATTCACCATGTAATTATTTTTGATAGAGGGGATATGATACCCCTACTCTTGTAATTATGCCAGTGCAAATAAGTATAATATTTACATTGTAGATTTTAATTGAGTCGCTACAGAAGTCATTACCATAAACATTCAATAATAATGTAATGTGTTATATCACATCATTTTTCAATAAAATATAATGATTCTTAAAAAACCCAGCACAGTTGGGTCGCGGCACAGTGGAGACATGGCATAGTTGGGTCAAATATAATGTTATCTGTGAGTGATTAATATCACTATCATAAAAAACGCTTTGATGCAAATCAGTAAATAGTGTTTAATTTAAAAAAAATGGTGAATTATTCCAAAAGCGACATGATCTGCTATTTTCTTATTTATATCCTGATTGAGATAAAGTATGTAGAATAAATGAGGTATAAAAATATTATTTCTCATAAAAAAATTGTATTGATCCATACATTTTTCAAAAAGTTATAGTATAATATAGTTAAAAATGTAAAATTCAAAATTGAGAAATTTCACACAAAAATAGCATATGATAGCCATTTTCACCGTGAAGACAAAATAAAGTCCGAAATTTTTTTTTTTCCATAATAAAGAATATTATATTAGCTTTAATTTAAGATATATATAAAAGTGTCAGAAATTCCGGTACACATTCAAAAGTCAAGTTAATTTTTTGTGTAAAAGTTTCCATTTTAAATTCCCCCTTGTGTGTAGGTAAAGGGTCAAATTTATAAAAAAAAAATACCAAATGAAAGTTAACGATATCATGCATCTATAAAAAAAAAAAAATATATTGATTTGTTCATTTTTGAAAATGTTATGGCAGTTTTGAGTAAAAAAAATGAAAAAATTTCAAAAATTAGCGATTTTTAAATTTATAATTTCTTTGGAGATTTTCCCTATTTACGGGGAACAAGGGAAATTTTTTCAATTTTTGAGGGTAATGTCTTCGACTAGATACGATTTGTGATCTTTTGACGTATCGTTGAAAGAAATCGATCTGGTAAGAGCTGAGAAAAAGTGGTAACAGGCACAAAAAAAAAAAAAACACATCATAGTATAACCAATACCTTCTCAGCTTCGTATCGAAGCTAAAACTGAAAACACGCTTTTAAATCATATCGAATCAAAAAGTTAAAAATAATTCTAAAAATAAGCTTAAAACAATAATGAATGAAAAATACTAGTATTATTGTGAAAAAAAGCGTGGGAGCTTTCGTATATTTATTTCTCGTATATTGAGCGCCTGAGAAATTAAAATTTTTTTTTTATTTCATTTGCATTTCTCTTTCTAAAAAATAAACTTTTCCATCTAATAGTTGATTGGTTGATTATTAACTTTGATACGTTATTACCTAATGCATCTGCTGTAAAAATAATTAAATGCACAGCATTGCGGTAAGAAAGCTTGCATTGAATTATTGCAGCAAGTAACTTATGAGTCATAAAAGCTAAAACTACTATAGCTATAGAACCTCGTGTTTTCGAAGAATATAATTAACCAGATAAACCATCTTCTGTTTTACATTCCGGGAAACTAGAAAATTTTAACTCAACAACATTAGTAGTATATAAATGGTGGGTACGGGCTCTCAAAGGTGCCGACTAATTACGTCATCCATTGTTCTCGGGGAAATGTGCAATGGGTGCACAGGTGAGATGCATTCTGTCATGGTGACGTCACACCTCACCTACCGTCACTCCCCCGGCCACGGCGCATGTGGGAACTGCATCCAGGTGCAGCTCGTGACGTCATCCTCCTAGTTGACGACGTCACATCATTGAACCCTGACCAAAGGGGTAAGCCGCTGTGACATTATACCTAAACCTACTACAGCTCGTTACACACACACACACACACACACAATTCCTATGACGTCACGCTAACGTAACTCTGTGCTATGATAATGTGAGCCGCCCTATCACGTCGTGCGCAATGACGCTTGTGACCGACAGGTGCGAACGCGCCCTAACTCCATCGTCGGATCCACACGTGTCCTAACAAGTTTTAACATGTTTATTTTTTTTTTATCACACTAATGTATTTATTGTTGAATCATGATGATTCATCATAACATTCCCTTGTTGTTGACGTCGTATACGACCGTTAGAAATCTCTCTATCTAGTGATAGTGTAGTTTCATCAGTAGTATTGTTCTACGACGCTTACGAGATGGATCTCTTGGAACGAATTAACATCGAGCTAGATACGTTTGTCGACAGCAACCCCACAGTAGAAGTTTATCATCGACTGGTCGAGTTACGCGGAAAATATTTCCAATTGCTGGTATTGGCCGACAAATGTGGACGTCAGAGCGCCAATTGGCATTATGTCGGGTGTTTTTGGTCACCGAATTCGAACAAAATACGAATCAATGGACCACCAAATTGTATGTGTACGATTGTGAGATGCCTGTACATAAAGTTATTCGAACGTCTTCAGAACATCAAATATGAATTTATGGTTAATGGTATGGTACAGCAAATTGACGATCAGTTTATCTAAGTAAATACAAATCTAAATGTCAATAAAAAAATTAATAGTTTATTGTCGTTATTTATTATTACATTATGTCATTTATATACAAAAGTATCACTTAAAATAAAAGTATATATTATATGCAGATTTTTTTTAATTTTATTTTGTATCCTACTGATTTTTATATTTACAATTTGCGCACTTCTCCGGTGAATGCATTGTATTCCATTTGACAGTCGCGTATGATGACGCAGTACAGCGAAGTTTTAGTTGGAAATTGCTCTGCATATTCAAAGTCAATACGTAGATCCACTGTGGACGACTTGACGGTATCGTTTTGTTTTGAACAATCTATGACGAATATAGGTCCGATTTTTTTGTAGCTGATTCGATCCAAAAAAGGGTATGGGTTCATCTCTCGATAGTACATTGATTGAAATTGTGCGTACGAATTATAAAATATCGAGAATTTGCCTTTGTCGAAATCTGCATTTTGGTTTTCGTACAGGTACTCCTCAGCGTTCAAGTATGCCTTGATGTTACGCAGGAAACAATGATTAAATTCACCGTGTACCCGTTTATTGGCATCTGTGACCATGGCTACGAGTAAGTACCTAGGTTTTTCAACACCCGAGAACGTACGCATTGGCCATGTATGAGTGGTGGTATGTGGTACAAGGGGGTATACAGCAGTGTCCCAATGTTGAAACTCTAACGGTAACCATTTCTTGCTGTCGAGTATGCGCAACAGACCCAATTCCCTTTTAACATTTGGTTCAAAGTATTTCACGACCCATTTAATTTTTGTGATATTCACTTTGGTTTGTCTAATCAACGCAATATTTTCTGCGGTTAACACCGAAGCTTTTTCTGCTTCGTCTTTTGCCGGTACCAATGTTACGGCGCAGTGGTCGGCATTTGATCGGATGAGTATGAGTGTTTGCTTACAGTTGATCAGTGTACGCCGATACCGTTCGAAAAATCCCATACACATTGACAACGGACAATGAGCTACAAATTCGGAATGGTCCATAAAGTTTCCATCATCGTATAGTTTATTCACGTTTTTCCACCTGGCTGGGTGTAACCGTACGATANTTTCCACCCGGCTGGATGTAACCGTACGACATCGTTGGGCGTGAACGAACAATATCCTTTCATAGTCGTAGTCACACCAACGTTTTTTACCTTATCAATTTCTTTATTGTTGATCTCAAAACGAATTTCATCGAAAAGATTTATCATACAGTTTTGATTCATTACAATGTTACCAACTGCTCCTGTGGGTTTTGCAATATTCCCCTTTATTTGCAAGTAACTTTTACACGGTATGGTGAATTTTTCTTTGTTGCGCAACTCAATGCGAATCTCATCGTTGTTTCCGTACGAGTTGTTGTAGCTTTGGTGTTCCAGGTAATATTCTCGTTTCACGTTATCGTCTTGAGAGGATTTTTCCAAAACTTGTAGATACTCTGTCATTGTTGACGACGCGGCAGCCCAGTGATTTTAGATATGCGATATTATCTTTCGTAAGTTTCCTCGGCGTCACACGGTATGTTCGATTCGCAGTCCAAGACCGTTTGATGGAACCACCACCGTAACGTATCGACTTGGGCTTCACTGTTGTTGATGATGATGATATGGTCGTACGATTGTTGTTAAAAATCAACGGCATGTTACAACCATTCGCTACCTGGTGTGTTCAGAAAGTGAGAGATGTATCTATTTATGTCTAATGTGCAAGCGTACGGATAATTCTTCGTCTTTGAGATTTATTTGGTATCCTTCTTGATTACATAGAACGATTCGTACCGTATCCAACACATTTGTGTTCAATGGGTAGTAAACAATTTGCCTGGGAACTTCTATAATGCGGTAGCCTGGTGGCACGCTGGGAGAAAACTCATGTAAGGTGTGTGATTGTTTTCCATTGTGGTACGAACCCACAATAATATTACAATCCACTCGAATAGACGTAATCGGTGTTATTGTCACTGGATAATCCGATACATGAGTCTTACGTGGTTCCAAATACCGAGGATTGAAACCAAATAAACGGCAAAATGATCTTTCATGTGAGAAATCGATGGGATGTTCACACATTATTTCGCAATGCATCGTCACGTGGTTCACTACGATTTTGAACGACGAGGTCACTTTTCTATCTTTAAATTTTTCAACGATTGTATATTCAAAGGAAATTTTCTCGTACTGACTGGCAATATATTTGCTCAAGTCTTCCAATTCGTACGTACCAACGTGCAGTGTTACTTTCAGCAAGGGTTCCTGACCGGGCAATCCAAAAACGTTTATATTGTTAGTTTCATCAATGTTTGGCATTATGTTCTAAGTGTGTAACAGCCCAATTTCATAGTTATCGTCAACGTCAATGTGTGGATGAAATCGGCATTCAATTTGTGATCCCCTACCTGTCACGGTTGGGTTCCAAGTGTGTAAGCTCANGGCATTATGTTCTAAGTGTGTAACAGCCCAATTTCATAGTTATCGTCAACGTCAATGTGTGGATGAAATCGGCATTCAATTTGTGATCCCCTACCTGTCACGGTTATCGATGACGGTTTTGTGTTGGATAACATTTTTTTTGTTCTATAAGAAATTTTAAACACAAGTGTCCACAATTCGTTTCGTCGAAAGTCTGATAGTTTCTGTAGTTGTATGTAATTTTACAGCCGTTAAAATACCGTAACACTTCCAATGGCGGCGGTAAATTACCAAAACTATCAAAGTACGTAACGTGCTTACCACGTTTACTGTATGCTACGCAATGTGTTCCGCTGTTGCTCGAAACGTCCAGATTAATCACGCCCATTTCATTTGTATGTGGTTGTGTACGTGGTAATGTATCACGACAAAATACACCACAAAATACACGTGGATCGAGCACATGACGAGCAAAATGCTCTATTTCATTATCGTATAATGCACGATTGGGTAGCAGCGGAATTAGTTTTTTTTCACTCTCTGTTTTGAACGACGTTTTTGTGGTTTCCTCTTCTCGATCCGGTAACCGGGGATACGTAAGGACGAATGTATAGTCCTTTATCCACGTTAACACCAGTACGTCCATTGCGAATGAATTCACTTGCAACCTTTACTACGTTTGCAGCTCCGCCAGCTAGTGCTCTAGTGCTGACAAACCGGCAAAAATTGGAATTAACGGCAACACTCCTCCGCTTTTCGGGATGTTTAGTATGCGAGGTACACTCATCGGACTCTTCTTGATGATCACACGTCTAGCAGCAAACAAAGCTTTTCGTGCAGCATTTTTCAACGATGTCGGAGACGCCGTCACTTTTTTATTATTATTTTTTTTTAATCCCACACCGAGTTTGCGTTCAATTTCATTGCGTTTGTCACACCCCAAGCTACGGCTCGTTCTGATAATTTTGCGTCCTTTGAACNTTTTTTTTAATCCCATACCGAGTTTGCGTTTCAATTTCATTGCGTTTGTCACACCCCAAGCTACGGCTCGTTCTGATAATTTTGCGTCCTTTGAACGCACTCGATCCCACGCACGGTGTTCTAGAATTTCATCGGCTCGATGCCGATCCCCGAGAGAATTACTTTTGGAATACGCGATATCGCGATCACGGCATGCTGCATCCAATGGATTGATACCACAGTCTCCACGTGCTAAACGTTTCTGTAATTTAGTTCCAGGACCGGCAAACTGGTAACCGGGCACGTGGGCTTCAAAAGCAATCTTGTTTATAACTGAATTGACAATACCGAATCCCCGTTTCCGATGTCGACGTCGTTGTAGCGTTTTCATTGTACTTCTAACGTCCTAGTTCACACTTACAATATTATATATATATATATATATAATATCGTAAGTGTGATGAAAAAATAACGCTATCTCTTGCCCTACGCAATCGAGGTCAATAAGTTACCAGCANCTACGTAATCGAGGTCAATACGTTACGAGGAACAACAAAGTTTTTTATTATAATAATAATAATACACAGAAAATGATGGGTAAATGACGACGTGCGATGCGTTTTGAAAAACAGACAGAAACTCTGCCCGTGGTCAATTTTGACGAACATGTCGCTACCAATGTACAGTACAGTAAACACGGGAAGTTATTACCAAACAGTGTACGTTGTCTGGTTTGTGGTCCGTCAAACTGTGGTAAAACCAATTTAATGTTCGCGCTGTTGATCGACTTGAACTGATTGAAATTCGAAAACGTTTACATTTACTCGAAATCTTTGGAGCAGTCGAAATATCAACTGTTTATTGGAATATTGGAAGATGTTGAAGGGATACGTGTGTTCACATTTGCGAACGGTGATGAAGTTCCACCAGTGGACACTGTTCTGCCAAATTCAGTGTTTATTTTCGACGACGTGGTTATGGAAAAACAAAACGTAATGTGCGATTATTTTGCGCATACGTCATGCATACGACGAATACGTGTGTTGTGATATGAAATTTAACGAGTTTAAAGAGTTTTCAATCAGTGTTGGAAAAACGATAAATACGGGTTCGCAGTGATATGTATGGATTTTGATCGTGATAGTGGTCGATACAGGTACAGGTTTGACACGTACGTTACAATATGAACACCGCCGCCGACAAGGAACGATATTCGATGGAACTATTGGATCAAGCCCGGGACAACGTCAGACGAAAATATGCAGAATTACGTCGTGGTGAGTCAGAGTCGTTGACTCACAATCAGAAAAAACTAGCACCAATAATAGAACCATTGAATAGGATTTCCAATGTTGTTAATGTGCAGCAGCAGCAGCATCATCAGAAACAATCGCAAGAAAATAGCTATTCAAAGTTATATTTTTCACATCTTATAGAACAGTAGACAAAAAATCCATTGAGAGATAAACAATACGGTCCTAGAATGCATATGGACGGTAAACTGAGCATGGGTAATGCAAACGATATAGCTGTAGACAGTGACTCTATTCGTGTAAATGGAACAAAACACCCATTGACAATTGGACTAGTGAATTTGTTGTTTTCGAAAAACCCCGTTGCGTTCACCGACGAAGATTTGGAAAAGTACAAAACAATATTGGAGGAAACCGGAGCTCATCTAAAAAAAAATATGGCATTGAAAAAGGGAGGTGTTAAATACAATGAAGTTATCGAGCCAATGTTCAGCAGCGTAGGATTGGGACTACAGCTGAGAGTCGGTGAAAAAAAAGATTACTTATACTGGGACGATCCCAATGAACTTGTCGAACGTTTGAAGCTGTTCATATCGACTCAGTCGGCTGGCAACACTGGAGTGTCACCCGAGATTGTTTCCATACTAGAAGAACTTTACGAAGCCAGGTACATTGCCGACATACCGTCTACATTATGAAACCGAAAATTGCGTACGAACTACATCGACCGACCCGGAGAACGTACACTCAAACACGGTTAAACATCAAAGGACTCGATGACATATGGCACGTAGAAATGGGCGCGTACGCAGATCGTGGTCACCGATACATTTTAACGTGCGTGGATGGGTTTTTAAAGTACGCGTGGACCGTACCGTTAAAGAGTTGATACGATCACATTTGCATGTGTCCATATCTCTGTCTCCCATAACATCGTTGTACCGTTTAATATATATATAATTAACACAGTGACATACAACAATACTAACAGGAGGGCGGACTGCACACATAAACACTTCTTGCAATTTACGGCCAATGTGCCACAATAAGATATCCCTATCGACAGTTGACATTTTACCATCTTCGCGATCACTATTTTTGCCTGATAATTAACTTAACTTCACTACCCCGTATATTATAGNCTAGCCAGCTATCCCCCGTTGGTCCCTTAGAATACTGTCGACGGGCATTTAGGCTAAACCCCTAAATAGCGACGTAACAAAAAAAAAACGGCCCTGAACGTGACCACAGCAATGTCGGGTATTCTCGAACAGGGTCGTCATCCAAAGCTGATGCAAACCGACCGTGGTACAGAGTTCTATAACCGACATTTCCAAGCGTTGATGGACCGTTACGGGATCAATCATTATTCAACATT